CAGAACACTCATCGGCCAAGGCCTGCAACTTTCGGAAGGGATTGTGTGTCTCCCGAGCCCGGGCACGACGGTCCCGTTGCTGTTGGACAATCTTGTCGCGGTGTCGATGATAGTACTTGCGGTTCAGCGCCCGCACTTGGTCTCCGTGCGTGGCTCGGTATCGGTTACAGGCCAACCGATTCAACTCTCGCGCTCTGGCAAGCTGTTCCGTGGTCGGGGGCGGTTTGGGCGGTTTGGGCGGTTTGAGCTTTTTCTGAGCCGCCCGCTTCTCCCGTTTCTGTGCCACAATCCTCTCCCTGTGTTTCAGGTACCACCTATGTTTAGCTTCTTTCACCTTCTCGGGATCTCGATTAGGCATGTCTCAATGGCAACTGACGTCTGGTCTGGACGATGGTCTATATCTAACCATCTTTCCGCCAATCAGTGATCTCGCTCCAGGCTCAGCGGAGACTTGAGAAATTTGTACCCATGGGGGGCACCCCCCTCAATCCTCCTCCTGTCTATTCAACCCCTCACCTGACTCTCACCTGACTCTCACCTGAGTCCTATCCACCAATCCCCATTCGTCTGATCACGTGTTTTTAGGTCTATAAAAGCCAGCGTCTGGCGCGGGAAAATTCAAATTGTCTCCTCCGTCATGGCGGAGGACCACTGGTATGATGACAGTGACGAAGAAGATGCTCTGTTAAACCGCGCTTATGACCGGTGGGAACAGTTGGGAGGGGCCGCTCCCGCCCGAGGCCCTCTCTTTCAATTCACCATGCAACCCATTGGTCGACGACGCCGCTGGCGTAATGTGGTGGAGCGGGCGCAATTCAATGCGCAGTTGCGGCAATTGAGGGATCCTGGTCCTGGGGATAATATTGGGATGGCACTCACGGAAGCATTACACCAAGCCATTGAAACGGAACTCGGTCGTGAGCAGCGACCCGCCCATCATTTTGTGAACTTTGCTATCACAGCGCATGGGTTCACCCACGCCTATCAAACTGCCAATTTCACCGTAGGGGAATTTTTACAACGTACGGCTCGATTGGATGAGATGTTAGCTACCCTGGCTGGCAAGTTGAATAGCAATGAAGCCTTCAACCCCGATCGCGGGTTTCAAGTGGATGTGGTGTTTGTCTCCATGCCTGGCCCAGGGTCCGGTCGACATAAAAAAACACTCAATGCAGGACGTTCATGTTTGGATCGAGTCAACAAGAAAAAGAAATGCATCATCCCCATCAACAACAGAGATGCCCTATGCTGCGCTCGCGCCATTGTCACCATGCGAGCCCATTGCCATAAAGATCAAGGCGTGGATGAACTTCGCCTATGGGATAGTTTAAAAAAAGGGTACCCGGTGCAACAACGTCAAGCTCAGGCTCTTCATCAGCAAGCAGGCGTGGCTGAGGGTCCCTGTGGTTTACCCGAGCTTCATCAATTTCAACAAACGTTGGGGTCTCAATATCAACTCTTGGTCATGACCCGGATGAAACCGTTCTTTTTGATCTTCAAAGGCCCTGCCGCCCCGCATCAGATTCGTTTACTCAAATCCAACGATCATTTTGATGGCTGCACCTCCTTTCCCGCGTTTGTCAATCGCTCCTATTATTGTGTGGATTGTGAACGAGGGTTCAACACCAACGATCGAACCCATCACACTTGTCAAGGAAAACGCTGCTCTGCGTGTGGGCGCTTTGATTGTCCGGAGTATGTGCGTGGCACCCGCCCCACCGAGTATTGCAGTTTGTGTCACCGCAAGTTTTACGGTGGTCCATGCAAACGTTATCATGAAGTCAGTGGACAATGTCAATCTATCAAATGCTGTCTCAAGTGTCAAGCCCAATACACGGTCGTCCGCAACCAACGTCATCGGTGCGGGTACGCCAAATGCCCTGCATGTCAGGAATGGGTACCCATCCAGGACCATCAATGTTACATTCAGCCTGTGGTGGAGGAGCACGAGGAGACTGAACCCACAGAGGAGGGGGGAGGTAGCATGGTGGCGCCACCCCCTCCCCTGTTTGTTTACGCAGATTTTGAAGCCATGCAGAATGCAGAAGGCGTGTTTGTAGCCAATTTGTTATGTTATTCATCGAGTGCCGAAACGACCATTCATGTGTTGGACGGGGAGGACTGTGCCCTACAATTTTTGCACGATTTGGATGATCTCACCGACGTTCCAGATTGTGAGGAGGAGCGATCGATTCTCGTGGTGTTTCACAATTTGAAAGGCTTTGATGGCATGTTCATTCTCCATGAACTCTACCAGCAACAACGCGAGGTGGTGGATCAATTGACGGTGGGAGCCAAAGTCCTATCGTTCAGGAGTGGACCCCTCAAATTCATTGACTCGTTATGTTTCTTGCCCATGCCACTGGCTTCCTTTTCCAGTACCTTCAATTTAACCGAATTAAAAAAGGGCTTCTTTCCTCATTTGTTCAATACCCCCGATCACCAACAGTATGTGGGCCGCATCCCCGATTTGGAGTTTTATGATCCTGATGGTATGATGGTCAAAAAGAAAGACGAACTGACCCGTTGGCACGCGGACCAAGTTCGTCGGAACGTGCCCTTCGATTTCAAACAAGAAATGATTGACTATTGCAAATCGGATGTGGCTCTATTGAAAGCTGGGTGTGAAGCCTTTCAAGAGGAATTCGAACAGCAGGCGGGTTTCAACCCTATGGCCAAGTGTATCACCATCGCCAGTGCCTGCAATTTGTATTGGCGCAAGCATCATTTGACCCCCGACACCATTGCGGTGGAACCTCTCGGAGGGTGGCGAGGGGCCCAAGTCAATCAATCCCTCAAGGCCCTGCAATGGCTCTATTACCAAGAACACCTTATTCCCAAAGAGGGGGCCAGTGCTGACCGTATTCGTCACGTTCGTAACGGGGGCGAACAGTCGGTGCGAACCAGTGCCTATTATCATTTTGTCGATGGCTACGATCCTGCGACACGCACCGTCTACGAGTTTCACGGCTGTCTCTACCATGGCTGTCCCCGCTGTTATCCCGCGAGAAACGCCAAACATTATGCCACACCAGACAGAAGCGTCGAGGAACTGTATCAAGCCACGCTCTCCAAACGCACGGCCCTGCTCCGAGCCGGCTACACGGTGATCGAAATGTGGGAATGTGAATGGGACCAATTAGTGGACACCGATGAAGCCGTCCAACGTTTCCTAAATTCCTTCGATCTAGTGGCACCCCTGGAACCCCGTGAAGCCTTCTTTGGGGGTCGAACCGGTGCCGTGGCTCTGCATGCTGTGGCTGGAGAAGGTGAGGAAATACGCTATGTGGATGTGACCTCCTTGTACCCGTGGGTCAACAAGAACTGTCCCTACCCCATCGGGCATCCGCGGATCATCACGCAGCCTGCCGATCAGTCCCTGGAATCCTATTTTGGTGTAGCCACCGTGGATATTCTTCCTCCTGCTGGTTTGTTCCATCCTGTCTTGCCTGTGCGCAGCGGCCACAAACTGACCTTTCCTCTCTGCCGTGTCTGTGTCCAGACCGAGCAAGCCCAACCCATGTTGACTAGAACCCGCTATTGCCCTCATTCTGACGCGGATCGCACGCTACGCGGCACGTGGTGCACACCTGAACTGATCAAAGCTGTCGAAAAGGGGTACACGCTGATCAAGATCCATGAAGTCTGGCATTTTCCTCCCGAGCAACGCCAAACAGGTCTTTTCGCCGATTACGTCAACACGTGGCTCAAGATCAAACAGGAATCCGCGGGGTGGCCCGGCTGGTGTCAGACCCTCGAGCAGAAACGCAACTACATTCTTCGCTACCAGGAACGGGAAGGGATCCGATTGGATATTGCCAGCATTGCCAAAAATCCCGGTCGCAAGACCACAGCCAAGCTCATGCTGAACAGTTTCTGGGGCAAATTCGGGGAACGGATCAACAAACCCACCACCGTCACTGTCAAAGACCCCGCCGATTTGTTCAATCTCATCTCTGATGCTTCCCTCGATCTCAGCACGCTCCGCCTCTGTACCGACGACATTTTGGAAGCTGTCTACACCAGTGTCCAAGACAATGCTGTCAAAGGCACCAAAACCAATATTTTTGTAGCCGCTTTCACCACCTGTCATGCTCGATTAAAGCTGTATGAGTCCCTGGACACCCTTCAACAGCAAGTCCTCTATTATGACACAGATAGCGTGGTGTATAAGTGGCGTCCCGGTCAACCCAGCATTGCTACCGGGGATTTTCTCGGGGACATGACCGATGAATTAGACGGAGATGTCATCACCGAGTTTGTTTCGGGGGGCGCCAAGAATTATGGGTATCAAACACGTGGTGGTAAAGTGGTGTGCAAAGTCCGTGGTTTCACGCTCAATGTCCGCGGGTCGGCTATTCTCAATTTTCAGACCATGAAAGACAACATTCTCTCCGAATTAGACTCGCCCCAGGACTCTCGTCGAAATTTGAACATCACCACCCCCTATTATTTCAAACGGGATTTAGAGAAAAAACAAATTCAAGTGGTTCCGCGCGTGAAGCAGTATGGGTTGGTGTTTGACAAACGCGTCATCGAGGTCGCCACTCGTTCCAGTTATCCCTATGGCTACGACAGGATTGGGGATGAACTTGACTTATTATTAGATTTGTAATGGGCGTGATGTCACTAGGGCGTCACACACGTCCCGCTTGTACCCAGGGCTTTACGCGGTCATTAAAACTATGCCAAGAATGTGGATTCAACTCTTGTGTGCGTGTGTTCTTTATTCCTATGGGTCACGTGGGCTAAAACCTTGATTTGTGACGTCAATCAGTCACATGGGCGAAATGCACGATTCTGATTGGTCGAGACCAAATTTGCTGCGCTCTGATTGGTTACCGATTATAGGGGCCACTATGACTACTCGGGGACATGGTTTCTCACTTTGCTAGACCTGTTCCGGGGCTTTGTATTATTACAAACCACATGATTGACTGGGTCTATGGCATCACTTACTCTCAAGGTATAATCATGACCTGCTTTCCACGGCAAATCTTATGTTGTATGCTGATGCGATATATCGATCAGGCGCAGCTTTGGAAAACTGCTGGGGGTTTATTGATGGAACAGTGCGGCCAGTGTGTAGGCCAGGAGAAAACCAGAGAGCCATTTATAATGGCCATAAAAGAGTACATTCCGTAAAATTCCAATCAGTAGCGTTACCTAATGGGCTGGTTGGTCATTTATATGGTCCAGTAGAAGGAAAACGTGACGACAGTGGTATGCTGGCCTCGTCTGGACTTTTACAAGACCTGCAAAGATTTTCTAACTCACCAGTTACTGGTTTACCTATGTGTGTGCATGGCGACCCTGCATACCCTCTTAGAGCACACTTACAGGGACCTTACAAGGGAGCAGTGTTGACACTACATCAACAAGAATTCAACAAATCTATGAGCAGTGCTCGTGTTTCAGTTGAATGGGTCTTTAATGATATAATCAACTGTTTCAAATTTTTGGATTTTAAAAAGAACCTTAAAGTTGGTTTAAGTGCTGTGGGTAAAATGTACATAGTTTGTGCCTTGATGCAAAACGCCCACACTATTTTATATGGTTCTGTTACCTCAGAGTACTTTGGTATCAATCCACCAGCTTTAAATGATTATTTTATTTAATTATTGGCGACGATAAAATGTTAAAGGGATTACACAAGCAAGGACATACATCAGGATACATCTTCAAAATAAAACGTTTCATGATTCATCAAATTTCTGACATTAAGAAGCATTGATGAATACTGACGGCTGTGTAAAAATTCCAGTAGAGATGGTAAAAAAACCCTTGTCATTATCAAAAGCAAGCTTGCACAATTTTTGTAATACTCGTTGGAAGGTAAACAGGTTAAATTTAGGCGGCAAAGCGAAAATCTAGCTTTGTATGTATAATAAAAACAACAACAAAATGAATTCAATGTCCCTTTTTCAAGAGTTCAAGTAGTGCTTGGCTTTGTTGTTGTTGTTGCTGCATAAACATTTGACACATCATCTGGAACTGCTGTTGTTGATTTTTCAACTGGTCTTGAAATTGCCTGGACATTTCTTGCTGTTGTTGAAACATCAGGTTTTGTTGAGCCAATGCCCTTTCTTCTTGTTTCTTTCTAAACTCTAGTTCTTCCTTCTTCAGCTCACATTCCTTCTCCGTTGCTTCTCTTAAATAGTCCATCGTTTCGTTTGGTGTATGTTTTCTTTTTTTCCGCGGTTGATCATCTCCGGCTCTTTTCTTTGTCTCACCAAGACGTTCCATGGCTTTGTTTCGCCTTTCTTCGGCGGAAGCTTTATCTTTAGCTGTTTTATCGGAAATTTTCTCCGATTCTCTTTCTTGTTCTTCTTTTCTCTCGAGGTAATCCTCCATTATTACATCGATTTCTGATTTCTCTGGCGAAATTCCAGATGCATTTCGCTCGAATCGATCCTTCCTCTTAAAGTCTCTTTCCAGTATCTTTAGTCTGTCTCTGATCGACTTTTGTGACACATTGAAGAATGGCTCTTGTAACTGATTCACGCTTTCGGCAATTCGGTCGAGGCAATTTCCTCTTTCACGACTTCCTAATAAGTATTTCCACCGTTCAAACAGCATAACCTCTTTTCCCAACAAGACTTCGTGTTCTTTTGTCCATTTCACCGAGTTCCTGAAATAGCAGTCGATATCTAATCAAAGACAGTATATTTTAAAAGACTGAAATATCAAACTTAGACACGAATTTTCAATTGACAAAATTTTTCAGTATATCTGACTGAATCCTCGCATCGCTTGTGCTGCATCTTGTGAGCACTCGAGAGCGTTGAAAGAACATTTGCTTACTATTCAAAACGGATTTATAACCAATGAATGGATAAAACCTTAGAACCTTTGAATGAAGAAGACTAGTTTCTTTTACAGTTTATCTCTCTTGGCATCTAAATTGACCTTAAAACGCCAATTTCTCTTTTTATTTATTCCCTTACCGTGCGTTTGAAGGACTTGGGTCATTCTTTTCGCAAGTTGACATCTTTCTTGTGTGATAAATAAGAACTATGGCGTGAATAACATTCAATGAAGTAAAAATCTGTTTCAGGAAAGCTCCTGTTAGCATATTTGGAAGGTATTTGCGGATTAAGCGTTAGATTCCGCAAATATTCCGAACAAAACGTACCTTTCGACGCGTTGCTACGAAGACGACTTCAAAACCGCTCTTCTGAAGTCGTCGCCTCCTTCAAGACGACGCGCGAAATAATGCCACATCCGGTAGCGCATGCGCATAAACTACTTCTAGTGTTGAGACGTCGTCGTCCTCTGGGAAGTCATCGATTCGTAAGCTCCCTACCATCAAATCAAACGTGTCGCTAACTGATCGGGGATATTTAAATACGGAGAACAAAAACTTGCAGGTGATGAAATGATGTGATGTAATCAACTTGATTTTATTTCCCACCAACGGTCAATGATTCTCGTAAACTAAAAAACAAATACAACTAAATGAACTAACTTATAGGGGAAATCCAAATATAAACGAGTAGCGATAGAAACAAAAGACGATAAAACATAATTGTGTACGAAAGGCTTAATGACAAAGTACAAGCTTGTGCATTTTGGGGGCGGAACCCGCACATGAAGAATCTTATTGTCGCATAGAAAACACTTAACAAATACATCTGTTAACCTAAATAAAATGCTTTATATATTGACTTTCGATGAAGATAAGATTAGTAGAAAGGTAAATGAAATATCCATACTATAGTAAATAACGAAATATGCGAAATTGTTACGGAATGTACACATGTATGCCCACGAGGGGACAAATAAAGTACTAAATCAATAACCTAAAGACTAAATCAACAAAAATATCTACGAAAGGAAACGAAAATGATTACTTACATATCTGACCCACACAGTAAACGTCCAAATAACGAAACGAAACTAAATGACACAAAAACTTATTCTTCTACTGTATTATGCGAGAAACATGCAATCGACTGAAATAAGAGTTATCTAGGGGGAGTATTAGAAACAAAGCAATGACGTAAATGAAACACTAAAAATGAAATGAAACTAAAAATAAGGAAAACTAAATGAGAAACTTAACAAATGGGTTCATTCTAACTTCAAAGTAATTGGACTACGCGTAGTCCCCATTTTTCCTCAGGGATGACAGAGCGAGCGAAACGCGAGCGCGCGTGAAAATCACCCCACGCGCGAAAGGCAAGACGCGGCAGTATTTCTCTCTCCCCGCTGCATCTCGCCTTTCTCGTGTGGGGTGATTTTCACGCGCGCTCGCGTTTTGCTCGCTCTGCTATCCCTGAGGAAAAATCGGGGAGTACTCGAAGTCTATCAAATAATCGATTCATTAATGAAATCTATGAGGATATGCTTGACTTGGCTTAACTGGAAGAGGTATCATATTCAACACATTACTAAGCTTTACTATTTCTTCTTTTGCCAGGTACCAGTTATTGTTATAGCTACCGTTATGATGTTAAGGCATTTCTTTTTTTCTTTGGTGAATAAGCCAGGATGGGCGCCTGTGAAATTACCTCAAACAGGACAGTATAGTTATAAAGGATATTCCATATACGATTGCCATTATTATCTTTATGGGCCTACTTTTGGAGGTGGACATGACATTAACATTGCCCGCTACGCATCATCCAGTAGCAGTTCGTATACCAACCTTGGTTATGCTTACGGTCCACCAAGCGGGTACAGCTATGGAAGCACCTTCACCCGGACATTTCTGGCAGGCACTTATCAGTTTACTCCGGACGAAGTAGAAACGTTTTACGAGACAACCTAAAAATATAATTTTGGCTTCGTAGTTTCATTAATTAGATATAACCAAATAACGTTGCGGCTGTTTAATCAGACGTTCTCGTCAATTACTGTCCACAGGCAAAAACTAAGAAAGAAATCAAATATTAAAAGGACACACGGTACCACAGCTTCTCCTATGTAGTCAACTTTTTAAGTTTCTCCCAGTAGTCCGGTTTCTCATTTCTGTTTTCTAGTTGATATACTTTGTCAAGAGAGGATAAAGGGGACAGAGAAGGCATCCCCCATACACGCTCTATTCCATAGGTAATTCGTCTCGAGTTATTTTTAGAATCGGGATAAAGTTACCTGGTACGCTGCGTGGATGTTTCGTGGAGGTTTCGCATGACTAAACGCCGTGCAAAACATGTCGGGCGAAAGGCAATGAAAGCGTAAAGAGATCAAGAGCATTCCTGAACTTTAACGCGAAATGAGTCGGCGCTCACCTGGGAAAAGGGAATCGCTAGACTCTTTGGCAACCCGTGAAATCAGTTTAACTCGAAGTTGTCGTAACCTCAGTGCTTTAATAAATTGAGATATTTCGCCGGTCTATTGAAACCGGTCGTTTGTACAATAAAGCAAGTAGGACGCCAAGTGTTATTTTTGTTGAATAATAAAAGACTAATAAAAGAATAAATATCAAACCAGAAATTGCTCTCTTCAAACTGTAAATTTTGAATGATCCTGAGAGAATATTCAGTGTGTTAAGGATTTCCCTCCTGTACGGTTAGCTCTATACAAGAGAGGAAGGGCGATTCTTTTTTAATTTCCATTTCGCTGACACAGCTTTAGCAGAAATCTCTCTGTAGTCGTTTTCGTCGACAAAACGAATAGCAACATTGCTCTCCGCGTCTTCCGCCATTTTGTTCTGCGTCAATTCGTGAAGGACGCGTGGCTCTGAGAGTGGATTATCGACGCGGGACACATTCGCGCTATGTAATTGGCTGTTGCCTAATCCCCCCTGGGATCTGTGGTCTTAAAAATAACTCGAGACGAATTACCTATGGAATAGGGTGTGTATGGGGGATGCCTTCTCTGTCCCCTTTATCCTCTCTTGATTTTGTACAACCATTTACAAGGCTTTTTTGTACAACCTTTTATATTGGCACAAAAAAAGCGTTTACACAAGAAAAGAGTTTAACTTCCACCGGATTGTCTTGGTACACGAACAAGGCCGCCATCTCATCTTTTAGAACACCAATATGGCCTCCGTGGCGCCAAGTAAAGAAAAGCTCTGTAGACTGAATTTAAATCAGCCTGAAATTAAAACTCAGAACTTTGTACCCATTACTGATGACTGATGACGATACCTACTAAAGAATAGCTAAAGTCGGTTTGATAAGGCATAATAATTATAACATAGCTAGAATATTCACCTAATCAAATTCGATAGCGCGAGCGTGCTTCATATTCCCATTGAGCACACTAATGACATGGCCGTATCATGAACAGTTTTATAGTTCATGTTCGGCTGTTATCTGTAGAAAACGTAGCGCTTTTAAAATTAAAGAAATTTTAATTGTCTTTAAAAACCTGCCTGAAAGATCATGGGGATAGCTTCGGCCGATGTAGAAAGAAGGACTTGATTAGTATGTACCGAGGCGCTGTCTTTTGTAAACAATTTGGTCTTCTTAAACAAATAAGCGAATAATTTTGAAACCACTGGATGGATTATTAACATCTTGTAACGCAGTAAAATACGAAGGGCTTCGGCGACCTCAAAGGTTTGACGCGTTTAAGGCAGAGCCTCCTTTTCTCCCGCTCGATCAAGAAGACCGTGAAAGGAGGCTCTGATCACCGGATGGAGTCCTCATGATACGACAGATGATTT